CCTGGTGTGGGTGCTGGAGGCTGAGTCCATTTGCCTGGTGTGGGTGCTGGAGGCTGAGTCCATTTGCCTGGTGTGGGTGCTGGAGGCTGAGTCCACAGGGTCCAGGAACAGGGTGAGGGCTTTCCCACCCGGCTCTTTGCCAGCCATATCAAGCCTGAATTGTTTTTTTATCATGCTAGTCCTGGGGCTTGAATTCAGGGCCTGGGTGATTTCCTGGAGCTTTTGTGCTCAAGGCTGGTGCTCTACCACTTGAGCCACAGCGCCACTTCTGGCTCTGTGCTGGTTCACTGGACTGAGGAGTCTTGGACTTTCTGGGCTGCCTTTGAACGGTGATCCTCGGCTCTCAGCCTCCACGGCAAGGACTACAGGCCTGAGCCACAGTCCCTGGCAGCACGGGTTATTTAAAGGGTCCAGAGGTGGACAAAGGAAGGGGAGAAGAGGGGGAGAAGGCAGCTGAAAATCCAGTGCAAACCCCGCAAAATGCAGAAGGGCGAGGGGAGGGGTGGGGGAGAAGGTGGGAAGGGGGGACGTGGATCAAGATATTTCGTATTCATCAACTGCTTTGTCCAGCGGCAGCTCCTTTGGACAACTACTTAAAACTAACATCACAATCTACCTAACTCACCAGGGACTACAGATCGTGGACACTGAAGGCCTGTAAAGACTGAAATACACTCCCTGATTCTTTTTCCTATTCTTCTTTTGGAGGAGGCTGGTGGTTCATACTCTAGCTAGCTCTATCCTTGTTTTGTTGGTGGTCCTGGGGTTTGAACTCAGGGCCTGGGCGCTGTCCCTGAGCTTCTTCAGCTCAAGGCTGGCGCTCTACCACTTGAGCCACAGCTCCATGTCTGGCTTTCTTGCGGGTCCACTGGAGATCAGAGTCTCATGGACTTTCCTGCCCGGGCTGGCTTCGAACCGGGATCCTCAGCTCTCAGCCTCCTGAGTGGCAGGGCTGACGGGGGACAGGGCTGCGCCTCGGGGCGGGAGAGCACGCACCTGCAGGTAGCCCATCTCAATCAGGTGGCGCTTGGCGAAGTAGAAGGAGCCGTTCTCGTACAGCTCCCCGCTCCAGTCCTGCCGCCGGGGCCGCTTGGCGGGGTTCAGGTTCAAAGGCTCCGTCACCTCGCGAACTGAAGGCGAAAGGCTCTGTGAGCGGACCCGGCTTCGAACCCGGGGAGGGGATGGGGGGGGGTGGACGCACTCAGAAACGCCACAAAGCGAACAAAACCAGCCACGTTCACCTACCTAGAGACAACAACTCGAAGGGGGTTCTTGCTTTGTGTTTTGGTTTTCCTGCAGGTCCTAGGTCTTGAACTCAGGGCCTGGGCGCTGTCTCTGAGCTCTTTCACTCAAAGCTGGCGCTCTACCACTTGAGCCACAGCGCCACTTCTGGCTTTTTAGTGGTTCACTGGAGACAGAGTCTTACAGACTTTCCTACCTGGGCTGGCTTTGAACTGTGATCCTCAGATCTCAGCCTCCTGAGTAGCTGGGATTTCAGGAGGGAGCCACTAGTGCTTAGTTTATTTGGCAGAAGCTGAGCAATTTTTCTGTTCAATTACTATAGCTTCACTCTCTTCCCCCTGATATCCCAGGTCTTGAACTCAGGGCCTGGGTGCTACCCTTGAGCTTTTGTGCTCAAGGCTGGTTGGTCCTCTGCCACTTGAGCCACAGCTCCATTTGCAGCTTTTTGGTGCTGAACTTTCCCGCCCGGGCTGGCCTCCAACCACGATCCTCAGGTCTCAGCCTCCTGAGCGGCTGGGCTGACAGGCGGGAGCCACCGGCGCCCGGCTGCTTTTGAAGATGTCATCGATTCTTGCCGTATTTTCAGTTCTGGGATTTTGGTGCATCGGTTTAAAAATGCAAATCTACCTCTTAGCCCGCTAGGTACCGCTCGAACATCGCTACACGGGCGGGTGCTGCGGGCGTTCTCGGTACGAACCTGGAGAATCGCTATTGCCAGCCTGTCTTTCCAATCCTCCCTCGCCTCCCTCGCCCTCCCTGAGCGCTTCCTCCGGCTTCCCCGGGTCTCATGGGGGACACCCAGCCCAGACACTCAACACCCCACAAGCGGCACACGGCAGCTCATGACCGGCTCATGGCGTCTTCCCGCAGCGGGTGGCGGGCACTTCCCAGCTAGCTGATGACCGGATGGATGGATGGTGGCACTTGCCGATCTCTCTGGCTGGAGCTCAGGCTCCCAATGGAGGCCCGACCCCAACTCCTCATGGAGCCTAAAGAAGCCATTCCACAACCCGAGGCTGTGGGATCGCCAGACTTTTCTTGGATGGACGTGTAGGAATTGCATGAAACACCCCCCCCCCAAAAAAAAGGCCACGTCTGCTCAACAGGCACACGGATGTAAGAGGCTCAGGAGGTGTGACGGGAAAAAGTAAAAAGCAGCCGGCTCCGTGGCTCCCGCCTGCCATCCCAGCTCTTCAGGAGGCTGAGATCCGGAGGATCGCGGTTCAAGGCCAGCCCGGGGAAGGGAAAAGGCTGTGAGTCTCTTTATCTCCAACGAAGCTCCCCAAAAGCTGGAAGGTGGAGGGGTGGCTCAGGGGTTGAAGGACACACCTTGCGTGAGGAGACTCAGCAAGGCCAGCACCCAGGCCCTGAGTTCAAGTCCAGGAACTGGTACTGATTAAAGAAGGAAAAGACACGGAGAGCGCGCGGGAGGGATTCCGGCTCTGTCTCGTCTCAAGAACAGGAAGCCAAGGCTCAAGTGTCACCCACCACTTCCTCTCCTTTCCCTCCCAGGATTCCAGGCGGGTGGGCCCGGGGGGCAGGGACGGCGGGGGGGGGGGGGGGGGGGGGGGGAGGGGGGAGGGAGAGAATGGTGGAGAGGAGGGGGGGGGGGTCTATCCAGGGGGGGGCAGCGCGCGGGGGCTCGTTCACCTCCTTTCTGGATCTCGCTCCATCGGAACTGGTGGCGGCGGACCACGGAGAACACGGAGTCGTAGCCTTCCTCGCGCAGCATGTCCGCCACCTTCTGCAGGTCGCTGGGGTGGAGGCAGGGCGACGTGGCCTGGATGTTCCCCACGATGTCCACCTCTGCGGGCAGGAGGGCGGCCGGGGTCAGGCGGGGGGCCTTCCCATCAACCCACCGTGTCTCCGCCTTGCAAGCGATCTCCAGGCTGGCGCTCTACCGCTTGAGCCACGGCGCCACGTCTGGTTTTCTGGTGGTTCACTGGAGATCAGAGTCTCATGGCCTTTCCCTGCCCAGACTGGCCTCGAACCGCGATCCTCTAGATCTCAGCCTCCTGAGGAGCTGGGACGACAGGTGTGAGCCACGGCGCCCGGCCTGCTTTTTATATGGACTGCATAGTTCAGGCCTGGGCGCTGGCCCTGGGGGTTCTTCTGCTCTGCCACTTGAGCCACAGCACCGCTGCTGGCTTTCGCATGTAATGGTCACAGCCTGGGCAGGAAAGGCCGGGAGACTCTGATCTCCAAGGAACCACCAGAAAACCAGACGTGGCGCTGTGGCTCAAGTGGTAGAGCACCAGCCTTGAGCAAAAGAGCTCAGGGACAGCACCCAGGCCCTGAGTTCAAGCCCCAGGACCAACACACACACACACACACACACACACACAACACACACACACACACACACATCCAAAACCCACCCAGCAGAATGCCGGGCAGAGGAGCGACCCTACCATTGTGGAACTTAAGGAACTCTACAATGGCGTCCAACGAGGTAGAGCTGTCTTTGGAGGTTTCTGAACTTCTCCGATGTACCTGGGCTCCGAACTGCTTGGCTATGTTTTCTATTTCATCATGGTCTGTCGAAACCCAAACACTGTTCAGATATTAAACGAAAGAAAAATTAAATAGTCAACCTACTCCCCCTTTTCCTCCCACCCCCCCAAAAGAAGATAACCCTGCACTGGATCATACAAAGTACCTCTGTACCATCATTAATTCTTAATCTACTGGTTTTTTTGGGGGGAGGGTGAGGGGGCTTGAACTCAGGGCCTTGGTGGTATTCCCACTTCTGCCTTTGTGTGGTTCATTGGAGGTTAAGAGTCTCACAGAGTTTCTTGGGTTTCTAAACCTGATCCTCCATTCCCAGCCTCCAGAGCGGTTGGGATTATAGGCATGTGCCACCGTACCTGGCCCAGCATTTTTTCCTCCCTATCCTAATTAAGTACAGAGTTTGGCAGCTCTGCGAAGGTTGAGCCTGTTAACCTGATTTCTGCCTGGCAGAGAAATTGGCCTTAGGTCAATTAAACCACAGGTGATTTACAACCCAAGCCCAAACCCAACCCAACTTCATCCCTCCGGCAGCCTCTGACCCTGAAACACACTGATCAGGAAGTTACAATTTTCTTCCTCTTCCTCCCAAGGGCAAATGTTTGCTGAGGAAGAAAAGGACAGGTCCCGGGGCCATACTGAATCAATAAAATCTGAAACACATCACCCACGAGCTGAGCACGGGGCGGGCCGGATGCACAGGGAGTCTTTGTTCACCCTGAACTTCCTTGTACCTCGGATCGGGGTTCCCCATGCTTGCCCCCCCCCCAATCTCGCTGGCCCGTGTGTGTTTGCCACGTGTTCCTGGCCTGTGTCCAGACACACCCTCGGGCCTGTGCAATCCTGAACCAGCTCACAGCCCACAGGCACTGGGCGAGCATTTCAACATGCCATCTGGCCCGCGGAGCCTACGGTATTTACGCTCTGTCTTTTCCTTGAGACCAACTCTGCCAAAAGCTGAAATGCTGAAGAAAAGACATTTCTTGCCCAACGTTCGGTGGCTCCCGCCTGTCATCCCAGCGACTCAGGAGGCTGAGAGCTGAGGATCGCGGTTCAAAGCCAGCCCAGGCCAGCAAAGGTCCAGGAGACTCTGATCTCCCCTGAACCACCAGAAAATCAGAAGTGGCGCTGTGGCTCAAATGGTAGAGCACCAGCCTTGAGAGAAAGAGCTCAGGGACAGCGCCCAGGCCCTGAGTTCAAGTCCCAATAGGGGTAACCAGAAAAATAAACCAAAAGAAGACATGCTCTTTAATGTTTCAAGGTTGAGCAATGTTAGCACTTGTGAGCATCGTCAAGATTACTGCTAATTGCACATTTCCCGGTTTGCAAGTATGGAAACTGAGGCACAGGAGGAGAGAAGAGTCCGGACAGATCCTTGGACCCAAGGGGGGGGGGTGCTGTGACATATTAGATGGTCAGATCGCTTCTTCTGGGCTAGGAACTGTACTGGGGGCTAGACCCGAGAAAGTCCTTGAACCATGATCTTCAGATCCCAGCCTCCTGAGCAGCTGGGATTACAGGTGTGAGCCACCACCAGTGCCCTGCCTGATTTTTCTTTCTCACAGTCCTATTATGGCGACAGTGGCAGATACCACAGGTGGCTCAAAGGACCCGAGCACACACAACACCCACATTACTTTTTATTTTCTTTTGGGGGCCTGAACTCTGGGCCTGGGTGCTGTCCCTCAGCTCTTCAGCTCAAGGCTGGCGCTTTACCACTTGAGCCACAGTGCCACTTCGGGCTTTCTCTGCTTATGGGGTGCTGAGGAATCGAACCCAGGGCCTCATGCGTGCTAGGCGAGCGCTCTACCACTGAGCCACCTGCTCAGCCCCCTAAAAACCTTTTCAGAAAGCCAGTTTTCCGGGCTAGCGGGGTTTGAACTCGGGGCTTTGTGCCACGCTGCTCCTGGGGCCCTGACACCCCCCCCCATCATTCAACCCCAGCTGTCTGGATAGTTCTTCCTCACCCCCTCCCCCCTCAGCAGGGACTGCGTGGCGAATGGGCACTGGGGCGCTCTGTCTGTCTGTCTGTCTGTCTCACAGCCTGCCAGCCGCCCAAGCCTTTTTATCTCCCGGTGCCAGCTTCCCTCCGCCCGTCCCCACCCGCGGCGTCCTCGGTGGGGGACAGAGATCCGGGCCCGCCAGCCACAGGGCAGCGTCTCGACCCCCTGACCCGGGAGCCCCCCCCC